CCCAAGAGTCACAAGAAAGCCACACACACACACACACACACACACACACACACACACACACACTTCTTTGATTGAATGTGGGCTTTTTACAACAGCTTCTCCTTTATTTCTGAACCAAGTCTTCTTAAAGAGGAAGGAAAAAGGAAAGCACACTTTCTCTGAATTTTTGCTTTTCAGAAGGCAGTTTTGCTCTGGCTGGTAAACTGCTGGGAGAGGCTCCTAATTATAAACAGGTTTAACTGGCAAGAGCTAACTCAGCACAGCCCAGGGTGTGGTTGCAAGGAACAAGCTGCAAAATGAAGCATTTACCCAAAAAGAAAGAGAAGATGAAATTGCAAGTGAGCGGGGAAGGGGAGAAGGGGGTGGGGGGAGAGAGAGAGTAGCGGGGAACGAAAACATCACAGCCTTGAAACTTAGCTTTTCAACTCTCTTTTTGTAGCTTCAGCTGTAAGAGAAAACAGACGCGCGCTCTCCTTATTAAAAAACCTGGCAGTGGATCTGGGGGGGGGGGGAACTTTCCACAAGTGAATTGCATAGGAATGTGGTTAAAAAAAAAAAAAGTCTGCCAAACTGTGGAACCTGGCAAGAGAGAAGCAGCAGCAGTAGCCACCAAAAAAACTGGAGAGACGTTTGGCTTTGAAGCCCCATCTGAATCCAGCCTGAATAGTTCATTGTGAAACCACGACAGTATATATAGTGTGTGCCTGGCAATGCGTTTTGCAGATCAGACCTCAGCACATGGCACAAAGCTCTGGAAAAGGTTGCAGGGCTGGAGTGCGAGGAAAATCAATAACAGAGGCGGAGCCAGCTTTTGGGGGCAGCCAAACATCTACCTGGGGTCCAGAACTGCCAAGAACGTCTCGGGCAGCTTGATATATCAAGCCAGGTTTTGCACTCCTATGAAAAAATAAGAGTGACTGCACTCACAAAGGAAGAAAATGGCATTCCTATGCGTTCAGCCTATTGCTTTAGGTGGCATTTCTGCAAAGTATACGTTCACAAAAGATGCATTAATTCTGAATTGCTCGATCCACTTGGCCCTTCCCCATCTTGCAGTTGAACAAGGTACTCCAGCACGCCAATGTTCTACCCCCACCTCAAGCCATCCGAGAAATTTTCCTGCTTAAAGCAACAGGCTCCCACCTTAATAAGAGAGGGTAGAAAATATCTGCTGCTTTGCCCCTTTTTCTAAACAGTACATCTCTTTTTGGAAGAGCCCACCCCACCCCACCCCCTTTCCTCTTGTTACTGGACAAGATCCAGTTCAGCATTTGGCCTCTGGGTTGCTATCCTGCTCCCTGTTTTTACATACTGAACCCTAGGAAGTTTAGCTATACAGTATATAAACCAGTGGTGGGTTGCTACCGGTTCGCCTCAGTTTGGATGAACCAGTAGCGGTGGCGGCAGGAGGCTCCGCCCACCTGCCCAGGCATCATCAAAAATGCTCTGCGCATGTGCAGAACTTTCTGTGCATGCACAGAAGCACCACACGCTCACAAAGCGAGCACACACACCTGGGCACTCCCAATAGCGAACTGGTAGCGCCGGGCTTTGAAACCCTACTGATATAGACTCATGCACAGCTTCCAATTCAGTTGGTTGCATTGCCTTCCCCACAACCCCCAACACAAGTGCAACAACCCACTGCAGCACAGCCCCAAAAAGAAAAGACTTAACTAAGTATACAGTTGAGAAATCCGGGAAGTGGGGAGAGAGAGAGAGAGAGAGAGAGGGAGGGAGGGAGGGAGGGAGGGAGGGAGGGAGAGAGAGAGAGAGAGAAATACAGGTAGTCCTCAACTTACGACCACAATTGAGCCCAAAATGTACATTGCTATGGGAGACATTTGTGAATGTCCTGCCACATTTCTTAAATGAATCCCTGCGGTTGTTAAATTAGTAACATGGTTGTTAAGTGAGTCTGGCTTCCCTATTGATTTTGCATGACAGAAGGTTGCAAAAGGGGATCATATGATCCCGGGACACTGAGACTGTCATAAATGTGAGTCAGTTGCCAAGCGTCTGAATGTAAATCACATGATCATGGGGATGCTACAACGGTCATAAGTGTGAAAAATGGTCAGAAGTCACTTTTTTCAGTGCCGTTGTAACTTTGAACGGTCACTAAATGATCTGTTGCATGTTGAGGACTATCTGTATTTCCAAATGCCTAAATATTTCTTTCAAAGTTTTCCTAGATGAAAATACCAGCATTCCTCTCCCAAAAACCAGGAATAAAGAAAGGCAATAGAGGGCAAAAGCAGATTTAGGCAAAGGGGGAACTACTTTAGGCTAAAATGAGTAAAGACTAAGATGCTACCAAGGCATATGCAGCAGCTTGATTTGTACATCAAGTAACATCACAAAAGAGAAGGATGACAGGATGGAAAGGGAGGGTCCGTCCTCACCCACCAGGGAAGGCAGCATAATTCAGCACCGAGCTGCTTAACAACGTTGCCAGACCAGGATGGAGATGACAATCTGAGCAACCAAATTTATGACACGCAGTGTTTCTTTGACAACACAAGGAAGGGTGGGAGCACTTGAACCCTGAAGTGGGGAAGTGGCCTTTGTGCACATGGCTATATTTGTCAAGTTCATCGGCGACACAAAGATGCTTACAAAATGTTCTCCTCTGCTTTCCTGAAGGAGAACAGCCCTCGGTAACAGACAGAATAACAGAACAACAGAATGGGAAGGGACCTTGGAGGTCTTCTAGTCCAACCCCCTGCTCAGGCAGGAAGCCCTATACCATTTCAGACAAATGGTTGTCCAATCTCAGTGTGGTAAAGCGTCAATGTCGATGTGGTCCAAAGTTAGCAGTGCCCAGTCCCAAAATGCCAGACCTCCCTGTCTAAATGCAATCCAAATTGTAAATGCCTATTTATTTATTTATTTATTTATTTATTTATTTATTTATTTATTTAATGTTATTTATTTATTTCGTCAAGCATGTATTTTATGACAGATGCAAGTGTAAACGTAATTATAAATACATGAAAAGGATATGAATAAAAGAAAACATTAGGACAGGGACGGTAGGCATGCTGGTGCACTTATGCACGCCCCTTCAGCTCCCAGATCTCTCACCCTGACTGAGAATTCTGAGAAATACAATCACAATGCATCTGGTGGACCTCAGATTGGAAGAACTAGTGTCATGGATTTATTACATTGGAATATAATTGTTTGCGAATACAGACATAATCATGATTAACCTCTTTGTCTTCCAAACCAGTTAATTCCTAAAATGAGCATCTGAGCATTCATACCTTTGAACTACTAGCTGTAGCTGACATATAAAACCTAACCCTAATTAATACGTTTGAGGTTTCTGTGAATCCAAAAAACCCAGAAGATCTGAAAGTAGGTTTCTGAATTCTGAAAAGCTAACAGAAATTGATGCCAAGCTGTCTGGGAATTATGGGGGTTGAAGTACAGCCCATCTGGAGGTCTCCAGGTTGGGAAAGGCAGCTGTCTGATAAAATTGTGTCTCACATCTAGAGATGGTGAGGTTTTGACTAGTTCTGGAGAACCAGTAGCGGACATTTTGAGTAGTTACAAGAACCGGTAGTAAAAATTCTGATTGGCCCCGACCCCATCTATTATCTGCCTCCCAAGTCCCAGCTGATTGGGAGGAAATGGGGATTTTGCAGTAACCTTCTCCTGGATTGGGGAGGGAATGGAGATTTTACAGTATCCTTCCCCTGCCATGCCCACCAAGCCATGCCCACAGAACCGGTAGTAAAAAAATTTGAAACCCACCACTGCTCACATCATAGCAAACAATCCTTAAGTGGAAAACAAGGCTTTGGATTCCACTGGAACGGAGTGGTTCTCCAATGAATCAATCCCTGTTGGATAATTTGCTCCGTATCTCTATCAGCACAGAATTTGAAATCCCCTGTTGATTTTAATGGAAAATGTCCCACTGAGTGCTCAGAAATGGCAGGCTTGGGGCCTGGCCGTGTGCACAAACAGCCAATCCAATGAGGCTCAGTGTGACTAACTAACCCCAAAAGTGTGTGCAAAAAAGGCTTTCAGATCCTTACCCAAACTTTGAACACTTTGGGTGGATTCAGAGGTGACCCCCAAACTCCTCATTCCAAGTCTCCTAACCCAAGCTTGCCTTCTCAGTGAAAATACATGATGAACCTTTGAAAAATGTGGCCATGAACACATTTTCCTAGCAAGTATTTTGCCCCGCCCAGATGGCTCGAGTCCATGCCTTCTCCTCCCCAACACTGGGCCCTGCCAAAAAATGCCATATTCTAGGAAAAAAAACAAAAATATACCCTCCAGCATGTGTCACAGCTAAAAAAAAAATAGGAACTCCTCTGTAAAAAAAAAAAAAAATCTCTGAGAAAATAGCTCCTCACAGTGGGGTGAGGAATGAGTGGTGTGAAAGCAAGCCTGTTCCATTAGGCTTTGTGGATGGCATGTTCTCTTAAAGATTGTTGCAGACAGAGAAGTGTCATCATTTCAGATTTAAAATATGTTATTTGTGCCAGTGTTTTAGAGGTTTATCATCAACTTAAAAATAAGTTTCCTGAACAAACAATAAGTAAAATTTGAGAGAGAAAGAGCCATTACCTCTTCCCCCACTTTGCCAAATTCTAAAGAAAAATTATCTACCTTGCTATCATCTGGCAAATATGCTGGGTTTCCATCCAGAATTTCCCAGAAAAAGGGAGCCTCTGCGTCTTTCCCTTGGGTTTTGTTGTACCATTCAGACATACATTCCTACCTTCCAGCCATTTCTCGTGATGCTACCTGAAAGAGATCATTTCAGCCTCTTCTCTGCCCTTCTGGCATCTACCTTTGAAGATGAGTAGCCCTTGCTGAAGAGATCCCCGTGACATCAGCAGACTTTGTGACATCAGAAAGTCTTACTTGAAACCTCACCATATTTTAAATTGATTTACCTTTTCACAACCCTCCACTTTAATGAATGAGCGATGGGTGAAATGTTTAACAGGATGTAAGCAAGGGACAAAGAGTCAACGTAGGCTGTGCTGAATGGAGTTGATGGAAGATATGAACCTTCCATGGAAGAGCCTTGGTGGCGCAGCAGACTAATGTGCTGTTAACTAGCATCAGCTGCCTGCAATTACTGCAAGTTCAAATCTCACCAGGCTCAAGGTTGACTCAGCCTTCCATCCTTTCGAGGTAGGTAAAATGAGGACCCGGATTGTGGGGGCAATAAGCTGACTTTGTATAAAAAAAGAACACCACTTGGGGGGGGGGGGCAAAAGCCCTACTAAGCAGGTATATACAAAAGTATGAAGGCTATTGTTTAACGCATTGTAAGCCGCCCTGAGTCTCTGGAGAAGGGCGGCATATAAATTGAACCAATAAATAAATAAATAAATAAATATGACTCAAAACATCAGGAGAACATCAGGTTAAAGAAAGCTGAGGAAGGCATATATGAATGTACCGTGCTTCCCCGAAAATAATTTAATTTAATTTAATTTATTGCATTTCTATGCTGCCCAACTCCTGAGGGACTCTGTCTTATATTTATAATATATATAAGACCCTGTCTTATATTTTTTTGAACCCTGAAATAAGCGCTTGGCCTTATTGCCAGGCGCTCAAAAGTCCGATTGGGCTTATTATCAGGGGATGTCTTGTTTTGGGGAAAACAGGGTAGTCTTCAATGTATGATCACAATAGACCCTAGAATTTTTATCATAAGTCATTGCAGTTACAAGATGAGGCACTACGTGACTGGACATGATTTTACGACCATTTTATGGCAGTCATGAAGTGAGTATCAACCTTTTTTTTTTTCTTTTTTTAAATTTATTTTACAAACATATCAATGCGTGAACAGTGCGGCACTTGGGTGTCATACATTCTAATACAAATAAAGCTAGTAAAATTAATCAATCAACAATCAATCAACATTATATATTTCTATTAATAATACACATTTATATTAAATTGCGGTCTGTCATTATCCAATTATTCCTTGTTTTCTCGTTATTGTTTTTATTTTATTATATAAAAGTGTATACACTAATATTCCCCCTTCTCTTATTTCTTTCTCTTATTCTAACTTTTAATCATGTCACCCTTTATTAAAAAAATGTTTGCTTTCTATCTTACCTAACTTCTAGTCATGTCACCTACCTAAAAAAGCAAAGTAAGAGAGAGAAAAAGAAAAGCAAGTCAGAACAACAAGGAAAAATCATCTATCCATCGTCTCTTGCCCGCTTCAATACTTTAATTGGTATGCTTTTTTTGACTTGCCTCCCATATACTTGAAGTGAATATAAAACTTACATTATCATAAGTAATTAAGAAAATCGCATGGTTGTTAAATGAACCATTAAGCAAATCCAGCATAACAACTTTTTCTGCTAGAAAATGTTTAAAAAGTCACCAATCACGGTGACATGGTCACAGGACAGAGGAATTGGTCGTAAATATGAGCTGGTTGCCAAGCATATGAAATGTGATCTGCCTGACTGTGGAGGGGGATTGTGGGCCCCCCTCCAGCTACTTTCAATCCATCCCCCAAGTTATGATTTCCACAATCCCCCTCCACAGTCACACGGATCACATTTCAGGATAAAAAAAAAACTCAACTTTTTACATTACCTATAATTATTACAAGCCATTTCTAAAACTACACAACTTTAAATCTTCAAACTAAATTCTAAATTTTGTGGGGGGGGAGGTTCTGTTTCAAGCATAAAAACAAGAAGCAATATCCCAATAGAAACAAGACTGAACTCTCCTTGTTTAAAACAGTTTGCATTGGCATCTTACCCAAATTCATTTTTCCTCTGTTTTGGGAAATGATACCTATTTCTATATACACTGATCACTTATCATCTATATTAACAAAAATCGCTATCACCTTTCAAATTCTTTAACCTTAAAGGGAAAACTCTTATTTTAAGACTCTAATCCAGGGCTGTCAAACTCCCGGCCTGTGGGCCAGATGTGCCACGTGTTGGCCACGGCCATGCCCGGTTTAACGAAGGGGAGAAAAGTCCCAATACGTCACATAATGCTGCTGTGACAACGTGAGTTTGACACCCCTGCTCTAATCATTTCTTTTAAAATGTCACCTTTATACTTAAAGTCAATTAATTCTAATGCAACTTTTTACACTTCCTTTTAACATTCAAATTCACTTTCAATGTTTTGCAATTAGGAATTGCTCAAGCGTTTTATGTATGAAAGAACAAAAAAATCCAAAACCTCTTTTTCTTTTTCTTTCTCTTTTCTTTTTGAACATATAGTAAATGCTTTCCAGATTTAATTTCAATAATATTTTGCAAACTTTAACAGTAACCAATTCATCCCATTTTCAAACCCACTTTATAAGCACAAACAACATATTGGAATATTCTTTTAATTACATATATTAAACCAACAGAAAATCTATCCTAACTCCAATTAACTTATTAAATTTAAGTTACTCCTTCCAGCTTGTCCTCATAAAATAAAATCTTCTTCTTCTTCAGAATGTCAACTAAATAAGAATAAATTTCTCTTTTTTTCAAGAGATTTGCCAATGTGACTTTTAAAACAAATATGTCAACACTGTCAATTTCAATTTCAATTTTGAAGTGGAGATCCCAAAAGTTGTAAGTAGCTTTTTGAAATCTGTCATAACTTCAAGCAGTCATTAAGTGACACGTCATAAGTCAAACCTGCTTTTTAACCATAAGTACTCAATGTCTCCCATATCATCCAACCCTAGAAGACAAAAAATGCAGACAAAGCTCACCTGTTCAATCTGACTATGAGCATTATTTGCAGATCATTCTGTGAAGGAATGCCTGGATAACTACACTCCAAAGGATTATTTATCAACAAGGAAAAGACTCTAATGTACATTCAACCTCTAGAATTATTGCATCTTTTATAAGTATGTAAAGTTGGAAGGAAAAGTGCCTCTGTTGATTGAGTTATAGCTTCTTTGGCTTTGCTAACAAAATGTCCTATTCTTATAAATATCTCTCTGTAAGAAATCCTGAAAAGATATAGTCTATATCGGTATCTGTCTATATCTGACCTGCCATCATTGCTTCTATTTGCAATATTTAAAGTTCAGATCAAATCAAATTTACCTCGGGCTTTGACCATCAAAAGCATAACGTAACCACAAAACCCATCACAAAATTATCTCTGAAGGCTTAAAAATGGCCTTTACTAAAAACTTAACAAAGAATAATTATATTAAATTATAATGTATATATATATAGAGAGAGAGAGCATGTGCCCAATTGCATTGGGAGAAGACTCAAGGGAATGCAGTTATTCGCTCAATATTTAATATGAGGACTAAAATACAGATGCTGAGATGAGAAAGATATCAAATTCTCATCCCCCCACGTGCTTTATCAAGCCATAATTGTCTCTCAAAGTATTATGAAGCTCTGAGGTCAGCATAAAAGAAAAGACAGTAATATACTGACATTATTTGGGAATGTCCTTGTTGAACTATCACTGAGCCGAGATGGCTCCATGGCTTAGGGCCGGGGTACTTACGAGACCGCCTTCTGCCACCAATAGCCTCCCACCAGCCAGTACACTCGCACAGAGTGGGCCTCCTCAGGGTGCCGTCCGCCAGACAATGTCGGCTGGCGACCCCCAGGGGGAGAGCCTTCTCTGTGGCGGCGCCCACCCTCTGGAACAACCTCCCCCCAGAGATACATACAATAACAGACCTCCGGATTTTTCGTCGGGCCCTGAAAACCTATTTATTTCAACTAGCTGGGCTGGCTTGAGTTAAATTTTAAATTGGTTTTAAATTGGGTTGTTTTAATTTACGGCCAAAATATTTAATTATTTTAAACTGTTTTAAAATTTTGTATGTTCTGTTTTTTACTTTGGCTGCTCACCGCCCTGAGTCCTATTTGGAGAAGGGCGGTATAGAAATGGAAACAAACAAACAAACAAACAAACAAACAAACAAACAAATAAATAAATAAATAGAGTGCAGTACTGCAGGCTACTTCAGCTGACTCTGAAAACCTATCTTTGTAAACCTATCTAAACCTAAACTCTGAAAAGCACTATGAAGTGGTATATAAATGCTATTGCTAGAACCCTTGGAGAAGTGATGATAAGTCTAGAGAAAAGATTAGTGTTTTACAGCCTTGGAAGATAAAGCTATTAGGCCTGTCAGAACCTTAATGGAGACAAAAGCTTTTCCCATATCATACCTGGGAAGTTGGAGTGGGGGGTTAGGTTAAGTTAGGTTAAGGGAAAAGGCCAGGTGAGACTAAGCAAGAAGCTGATAGGCCAAATGGAAAATCTCCCTAAACTATATTGAGCCCTGTGTTCAGTGCCAGAGTTCCCCCCAAACAGATACATCCTTTGCAATAGTGGCAAATATCTGTAGCTCGGATGTAGGATGAGGGTAAAGGTTTGTTCGCCGAGCTTGTGGGTTGGTTTCCGAACTTTTTGGAAGGCCCAGCACAAGATTCGGTGATGACTCACAGCTGACCCATCACAAGACCCTCACTTGACAAACCCACACCGGAAGCCCTTATAAACAAGAACAGCGACACTGACATCTCCTAAACTCCGCTGTTACCTAGACTGGTAATGAAACGTTCAAAGACCAACCTACATGCTCAGAGAACGAACCTTCCCCTTCAGATGCATCCTTGTTACTACATGGTGCTCTCTGAGCTTGGTTGCTTTCTTGCAGATGGTTCATTACTCAAATTAGGTAACATCGCGATTAGCGCTGATTATGTTACCTAGTTTGGTAATGAAAGGTCTGCAAAAAAAATACAAGCAAGCTCAGAAAGCACCAAGGACCCCTCATTTCAAGCTACAAACATTCTACTCCATTGTTAATACATTTTTCATTTATTTTTGTTGAGTTCTAAGAATGGTTCCCCTTCTCTGTTAAAGAAAGGATTAAATTCTAGAGTTTATAGGTGGGGAAATTAACAAAGATGCTTATGGTGAATATTTATCACATCTGGGAGTACTGTGCGAAGATACAATGGGAAATTCTATTCTTTCTAAAAAAAAAAACAGTCCATGTTTAAAGTCCAGCATCACTGAGTTTCAGGAAACAACAGAGACATGACTTCATATAAGCTTTGTCTCTCATTGCCACGGATGATTGTTTTATTTTATTTTATTTTTTTCTTTTAAAGATTGGTAGCTTTACCAGATATTACAACAAAAACTGAAACCTCATGTAGCAAAGCAGTTCCTGTCTAACCGCTAGAGGTTTGCATCATTGACTGGCCATCTTGACTGTTTCATGATGTCGGGCATTTTTGTTTTTGATTTTTTTTTTTTTTTTTTTTTGCTTATGACTGCAAATAACAATAACAACTTGAAAAAGTGGTACCTCTGTGACCCATGTTGAGAGAGTTGGAGCGATGAGCCAAATGGATCAATAATGACCCGTCAGATGAAAATTACATTTCATTTAGGGACCACAAAGAGAACTGGAAGGATGCAACTTCACAGCCCTTTGATCTGCTTTTTTTTCAGGGCCAAAGACCAGTATAGTATAATCTTGTCTCATTTTACAATTACCGTAGTGTGCCATTAGATTTTACAAATGTTTTTAACACAGGCACAGTGAATACGTGGAAGAATACCACTTCACATAAATGGGCTTTCCGCCTCCCCTCAAATTTCCATGCATTAACCATATACTCATTAAAACATGTCAAAGGAACCTAATAACCATATAAAGAATATTAGATGGAGGTGTTAGGAAAGTAGTTAAAGGGCCTGGATTCTTTCCCTCTTAAAAAAGGCTCTTCCTCCTATTTATGTGGCCTTCTCTGTAAATGGGGGCAAAAATAAGTCTCCCCTTGTAAATTTGTCACCAGATAAAACTAATTACAATATTCCTTTCTTCAAAGATTTGTTGTTGTTAGTTGCGAAGTCGTGTCTGACCAGTGCTGGGATTCAGCCAGTTCACACCACTTCGGGAGAACCAGTTGTTAACTTTCTGAGCAGTTTGGCAAACTGGTTGTTGGAAGAAATCATTAGGGCAGAGAACCGGTTGTTAAATTACTTGAATCCCACCACTGTCAACCCATTGTGACCCCATGGACAACATTCCTCCAGGCCTTCCTGTCCTCTACCATCTTCTGGAGTCCATTTAAGCTCATGCCAACTGCTTCAGTGACTCCATCCAGCCACCTTGTTCTGTGTTCTCCAAAGGTGGAACCATACAAATTATTTCTGGTGATATAAAGCTGAGAGGCCCATCCTGATGTCCCATTCACAGGTTCCACACATAAGCCTTTTCTTGGGTGGCTTCAGCAACCTGCACTTTTGAAAGCAAAGACAAATTTACTTTGGCAAAGCATGCGGGATGGGTTTCCTTGGTGGACGCTCACTAGACTCAACTCTGCAGGAGTAGAAATATAGTAGGACATAGTAGTCGTCTTATCTTTTGCCTTGGAATGTAGATTTGTCTTTCTTTCTCCCAGTTTCCCTTTTCCTGTAGATTTGAGGATTTCAGATCAACAGTGACTACTCTCTTCCTACTTTCGCAGAGGAAAAATACCCATCCCTCCCTCCCAGAATCATCCTTTCTCTTCCACTTTGCCTCTATAGGGAAGTCTGCAGCCTCACCTGGAACTTGCCTCCCAGGGGGTGTTGAAAAATGTTATAAGACAAGCCCCAACTCCCCCAGTCGCCAAGAACAAACACATTCCCTGCTGGCCACGCCCCATGCAGCTGCTCACACAGCCCCAGCCAGATGCACTTTCAAAGGGTGAAGTCAGACCTCCCAAAGAGCAGCTGCCAGGGCTTGCATGCTCCTTCACTGATTGATGGGGGAGACATGGGAAGAAGGATGTTGTTGGAACTGGCGAGCCATGTTTTTTGCCCTGGCCAGCATTGCCCATCCATACCAGCTGATTTCCTCCATGGACTTTTGCTCCAATATCCCCTAGCTCCGTGATGGTGAACCTATGGCACACGTGCCACAGGTGGCACACGTAGCCATATCAGTGGGCACGTGAGCTCAGTTCTGGTGCACATGTGCACATGTGCGCCGGCCAGCTGATTTTTGGGCTTTCTGGGCCCACCAGAAGTAGGGAAGCAGGCTGTTTCCTGCCTCTGGAGGGCCTCGGGGGGGTGATGGGAAAGGCCCATTTTTCTCTCTCCCCAGGCTCCAGAGCCTTTCGAGCAGTCTGGGGAGGGTAAAAACGGCCTTTTGCGTGCCAGGAGCGGGGGGAAGCGGGGGGGTCACGTGTGCATGCACGGGGGCAGGGCACATAGAATTATGGGTGTGGGCACGCACATGCATGACTCCCTCCCCACTCCCCCCGCTCCTGGCACACGATGGCAAAAAGGTTAGCCATCACTGCCCTAGCTTGTGCTGAGTGCAATTCTTGTGATACAGGTAGTCCTCAAGGTATAACCATTCGTTTAAGGCCCGCTCAAAATTACAACAGCACTAAGACAAGTTAATTATGCCTGGTCCTCACAGTTATGATCATCGCAGCATCCCTACAGTCATGTGATCAAAATTTGGCAACCAGCATGTATTTATGATGGTTGCAACATCCCAGGGTCATGCGATCACCATCTGCAATCTTTCCCAGTTGGCTTCCGACAAGCAAAGTCAATGGGAGAAGCCGGATTTGCTTAATAACTGCATGATTCACTTAACAACTGCAGTGGCAAAATAGATCATAAAATCAGGTGCAACTCACTAACAGCCACCTTCCTTAGCAATGGGAATTCTAGCCCCAATTGTGGTTGTTAAGTCAAGGATCTGCGCAATTGCTGACTTCCCACACTAAATGCAGTCCATTTTGCAATTTGTCAGGGATGTGATAATTCTCCAGGAAATATATCAAGCTTTTGTGCACCATCAGGGATGCGTGTGGTAATGGATAGAATACCAACAACCCAGCCAGGCTGGCCTTGTAATTCTGAGCAGCGCCTTAATCTGCAGATTAAGCAGACAACGCATTTGATTTGAACTATTTAAACAAACTGGAAAGTTCCAGGGAAAGAGAAAAGATTGATTAGAGGACTAGAAACTAAGTCCTGTGAGGAGAAAGCAAAAGAATTAAGTTAAGCTTTTTGGAAGAGAACACTGAAAAGAGAACTTATGATAGCACTCTTCAAATATCTGAAAGGATGTTTGACAAGAGAAGGTCAACAAGACCTGTTCTGCATCATTCCAAAGTGCAGGACACAGAATAATGGATTTAAAGTACAGGAAGACAGCTTCCAACCGAATATAACAGAACAGTTGTCAATAAAACTAATTACCCAGAGAAATAGTGGACACCCCTTCACTGGATATGTTCAAATGGAGACTAGACAATCATTAGTTGAGACGATATACAGTAGTTGGGATACATGCATAGAGAAAGTGGTTGTGCTGCAAAACATAAGTGGCCATTTCTTGCTCGATGGTTTTAGTGTCTGTTCACATCTTCTGAACAAGCAGCTGCTAGAGACAAAGGAGCAAGAGCTGGTAACAGGTTTCACAACTGGGCTTCCAATTGCTTGAAAAAAGTAGGTTATGTAGAGTGTTGCATACACTTCTAATAAGAAACATGTGCAGCTTTCTGTAAATGAGGAGCGTACAGCCCCTCTCTTCATGATTTTATCCCACCTTGTTCTGTTTCCTGGAATTAAGCTTCTGCTAGGCTTGACATAAGATACCCTTGCATGTTCATCCTTTAATGTCGGAGTTCACACATTGTACTGATTCGTGGTTTGATTTAACGCCATGTTAAGAGTAAAACAGAAGAGGGTATGTTCATGCATAATGCTAAGTGATGGTTGGTTGATTGACTCTGAGAAGCTGTAGCAGTTTACAAACCACAATGGCTAGATTCACCATCATCTGATCTCATCCATATGGCCTGCTGATCATTGTTCGAAATTGTCCCACTTGCCATTTTCTGAGACTACAATCTTCACAATGGAGTATCTAGCTTGTAAAACAGCACACAACCAAGGTAAGATGAAGCTGATCCAAATTCTCCAGGGTGAAGTGTTTACCCACTGACCATAGTCAAAGATCTCCTACCGGGACACTTTAGATTACATGGAAGCATCATCTTTAGAGATATTGAAAGCCTCTAGAAAGATGTAGAGTCACGTGACGTTTCGCGATGTTTTTCCCCTTTGCAGAGCGGGGGTGGGCGTGGCCTGTGTGTGATGCATCCAGCCCACTGGCCACCAGTTTGACACCCTACTCTGGAAAGAGGGCAGAGAAGAGCAACAAAGATGATTAGGGGAAAGGAGGCTAAAACATATGAAGAATGGTTGCAGGAACTGGGTATGTCTAGGTTAATGAAAAGAAGGACTAGGGATGACATGATAGCAATCTTCCAATATCTCAGGGGCTGCCACAAAGAAGAGGGAGTCAATCTATTCTCCAAAACACCTGAAGGCAGCACAAGAAAATGGATGGAAACTAATCAAGGAGAGAAGCAACCTAGAACTAAGGAGAAATTTCCTGACAGTTAGAACTGTGATGGCGAACCTTTGGCACGGATGCCACAGGTGGCACAGCCCTCTCTGTGGGCACAAGTGCCATTGCCAGCTGGTCTTCTGGATTCCGCTGCACACATGTACATGCCAGCCAGCTGGTCTTCGCAAGCACCAGAGCACCAGAAAACAGCCTGAAAAACGGCTAAAAAACAGGCTGTTTTTGTGCTGTTTTCCAGACCATTTTCCAGGCCAAAAAAAAAAAAACATTTTTCAGCCTAAAAACGGCTAGAAAAAGGGCCTGAAAACGGCCCAAAAATGCCCCAAAAAGCTGGTCTTTGGGTTTCCAGTGCTCCGGCACGTGCACATGCACACATGTTCCGGTTTGGGCACTCTGTGTCAAAAAGGTTCACCATCACTGAGTTAGAACAATTAATATGTGGAACAATGCGCCTTCAGAAGTTGTGAATTCTCCAACACTGGAAGTTTTTAAGAAGAGACTGGAGAACCATTTGTCTGAAATAGTAGAGGGTTTCCGGCCTAAGCAGGAACTAGAAGACCTCCAAGGTCCTTCCAACTCTGTTATTCTGTTATCCTGAGATCTACTGGGCTCCAACTGGACTGCTGCTGAATTGCCCTTCCCACTTGGTCACAGGGCTCTGCCCGTCCATGATCATTTGTGTTTGTGGCTGAGAGATCAGGTACCTCTCTTAGACAGGTATTCCATCCTTCTCCTCCTTTGTAGTTTGGTCTCAACCCTGATTGTAGACTTCCCTGATACAGATATCTCCATTAGAAAGCAGAACCTCATCCAACAACTTTTTCTCCAGTGAGGAGTGGGGAGGAGTAGATACTAAGCACATCTCTCTTTTGAGCACCACCATGGCAGACAAATAAACCACCAAGCTGGGTGCATCCTCCATTGTTGCATTGAGTGTGTATATCTCTGAGCCCAGTAGAGTCTTGACCAGGGTCTGCATGGTCATGGTTGTTGTGGCCTGACAGTGGCCTGTGCAGCTAGTAGCTGATTCAGACAGCGAGGAAGCTGGTGTGGTGCTGCGCCAGCAGCCTGTGCAGCTGGCACTCGAGTCAGAGAATGAGGAGGCTGGAGAAGATGTGGTGCCAGAGGCGGGGATTCAGCCAGGGCCTTCAGAACCTCCAGAAGCTCCCTTAAGTGAAAAGAACGAAGAGGAGGAACCTCTTCTTGATGCACGGGCACGCAGAGCTGCCAAAAGGCAGGAGTGGCTCCTCAGGAGGAGGTCTCCTCGAGAGTAAGGCTTGGGGCTAATTGACCACTCCCTTAGCCTATTTAAGGAGGAACGCCGACTGATGCAATTTGCAGGGAACAACTTCATTCACATATCTTCATGTCTTGTCTTGCTTATCTTATTAGCTTCCTGCAAATAGTTTCTGGGCATTCTGCCAACCATAATAAGCTTTCAGTTATTATTCTTTGAATTCTTGGCGGCTGTTAACGCAGTTAATTAACAGCCGTTGTTGTAAAATACTGGTTTATTTAGTAAACTAAGGTTTGTACAGACTTTGTGTGTGCTGTGTTATTTGGGTCCATAGCTGGAGCAGAACAATGGTGCAGGGAAACCAGGATTTGTCTCAATTGCCTACTTTTCTCTGCAAAGGGCAGAAGAACTAAAAGGGAAGCAGAACCGAAATCCCACCAGCACTGCAGTCATGTGGAACTTGAATTGACAAGCCATACGACAAGCCATTTCTAACAGCAGTCGGCAAGCAGAAACCTGAGGTAAGTCACCCAGTTTTTCTTTGCTCCACTTCCATTAGTATTTGTGATGGGGAAATTAACAGTGCTTAATTCCATCATGAGCGGCTGCTTTGGCATGCAACATCCAAAATGGCTACAATCCATCTGTATCAGGTATGTCTTGTGTGAATGCCCAGGAGGGGCGGGGGTGTCTCCTGCCCACCTGGAGGTTGACTCTGTCTCCTGCTCTTCTTCCCCCTTCTCCCCTTGTGTAATTCCTTGTTCCAGGAGGGACCGTGGCATGCATCTGCCGGAAAAGAGAAGGATGGAAAGAGTTAGGGTTAGGGGCGGTGCGATTCATTGAAATGACCATTTGTTGAATTGTATGAGCCGCGATGGTGCAGTGGTTAGAGTGTAGTATTGCAGGCTACTTCTGCTGATCACTGGCTTCCAGCAGTTTGGCAGATCAAATCTCACCAGGCTGAAGGTTGACTCAGCCTTCCATCCTTCCAAGGTGGGTAAAATGAGGACCGAGATTGTTGGGCGCAATAGGCTGACTCTGTAAACCACTTAGAGGGGGCTGTAAAGCACTATGAAGCGATATATAAGTCTAAGTGCTATTGCTATGTCAACAACAAAACTCACAGTCTTGTTGCTGGTGAAAGATGAAGGCAGTAGTTTTTATACCTCAAGGGTAGGAGGACTGCTGGGCAGATACGCCACCCCTCAAACCACATCAGAGCTTAAACACTGCGTGAACAGAGCCAGTGACCACAATGCCAAATGATGACGTATATTCGAAAGGCCCTTCAAAGATCAAACAGAGAACTTTCGTATCCGCTTAAATGCAATGTTATTCTACTAGAGTTAACGGAAAACTAAATGCCAGAGAGAAATTCTAGACCTGCAGCCATTTTCCCACCATGCTTATTGCCCATGCATAACCCCCTCCCTCTCCCCCTCTCTCTCTGCATATTCTTACAAAGAGCTCGGGAGAAATTGGATTCCTGCCTTATGCAGAGAAGGGATACCTAGCAATGCTTCCTCAACCACACATTGGCTATTACGGAGGCTTACTGCTATAGGTAGTCCTCGACGTATGACCACAGTTGAGGCCAAAATTTATGTTGCTAAGTGAAACATTTGTTAAGTGGGTTTTGCTCCATTTTATGACCTTTCTTGCCACAATTGTTAAATGAAGCACTGCGGTTGTTAATTTAGAATAACACAGTTGGTAAGTGAATCTGGTTTCTCCATTGATTTTGCTTGCAAAAGGGGATCACGTGACCCCCGGGACACGTGATCCTGGGGTCACATGTCCTGGGGTCCTAAGTATGACCCAGTTGCTGAGCATCTGAATTTTGATCACGTGTCCATGGGGATGCTGGAATGGTTGCAAGTGTGAAAAACAGCCTCTTTTTTCAGTGCCGTTGTAACTTCGAACCACCACTAAATGAACTGTTGTAAGTCAAGAGCTACCTGTGGTTTGACACAATGGTAGACTTGCCTTTAAAAAAATAAGACTAGGAGGGTTATGAATGTGTGTCAATCTGTCATCTATGGAATGATTCTCAGTCATTCAGGTCACGGTTGTTCCGAAGGTGCTTTTTTTCAAGAGGCAACTCGACTTTCTGGTTTTTCTTTGAAGACGCTTCGCTTCTCATCCAAGAAGCTTCCTCAGCTCATAGGGATAGTCCTCAACATATGACCACAATTGGAACCAGAATTTCCATTTCTAAGCAAGGCAGTTAAGTGAGTCACCCAATTTTATAACCATTTTTGCCATTATTATTTTTTTATTGGTTTTACCACAACAACACAACATACGAAACACAAACACATGATATGTGTTTTTTTTACATATCAGTTTCGTTCCTCTTATTTTCTACTGTATACATTCCCCATTTTTCCCATCCTTTATTATCATCTTTATCGTCCCTTTATTTTTAATTTTCGTTCGTTTACAGTATTTTGCACATTTGTCACCTTCTTCTCTCCATCGTTTATTCACATTGACTTTCCCTCATCTCGAAATGGTATGATTGGCTCGATGTTTTTGCCATTATTAAGAGAATCACTGCAGATGTTAAGTGAATCCCATGGTTGTTAAACAATCCAGTTTTCCCCATTGGTTTTGCTTATCAGAAGCCACTTGTGGGAAGGTCTGAAATGGTGATCATGTGACCCTGGGACCCTGTAACTGTCATAAATACATGCCTGTTGCCAAGTGCTTGAACTTTGATCACGTGACCATGGGGATGCTACAATGGTCATAAGTGTGAAAAGAGGTCCTAAGTCACTTTTTTCAGTGCCATTGTAACTTCGAAAGGTCACTAAATGAATGGTTGTAAATCAAGGATTACCTGTATATACTAATCCACAAATTCTACCCTCAAGCATAGCCTGGCCTCCACTTCAGGTGATCAAAATTACAGGTAGTCCTTAACTTGCGACCACAACTGAGCCCAAAATTTCTGTTGCTAAGTGAGAAATTTGGGAAGTGAGTTTTGCCACATTTTATGACTTTTCTTGCCACATTTATTAAGTGAATCATTGGAGTTCTTAAACTCGTAACATGGTTGTTAAGTGAATCTGGCTTCCCTATTGACTTTGCAAAAGGGGATCACGTGACCCAGAGACACTGCAACCGTCATAAATGTGAGACAGTAGCCAAGTGTCTGAATTTTGATCACATGACCATGGGGATGCTACAAGGGTCATAAGTGTGAAAAATGGTCATAAGTCACTTTTTTCAGTGCCATTGTAACTTCGAATAGTCACTGTTGTAAGTTGACGATCACCTTTACTCCAATATTTAACACAGATCACCAACAAATATTTAACACAGAAAAGGCATGGAAGGTTTTTTAAGTTCAAAAACAGCATCATGCTGAAGCAGGGGCCTATAAGGTACCTATACCCAAAGTTCAAAGCATTCAAGGAAAGTGGTTAACCTATTCTATCTTTCTTTGTTCTGATATTTGGAAAAGTGGTTAGCCACTTGCTAGATTATATGGATAAATTACTCTTATCCAGGGGTGAAATGCTCCCGGATTGGATCAGATTGCATGGTCCGGTAGCGATCTTGGCCGTTGGTTCGGTGATCTGGTAGCGATGGTAGAGCAAAGCTCCACCCACCTGCGTGTTTTGCGCATGCGCAGGTTTTGCACATGCGCAGGTTTGCGTGTGCACATGATGCGCGCACATGTGGGCAAGTGAAGCGAGTGTGCGTGGGGCGCATGCACTTCTGAACCAGTAAGGAAGGTAAGTAGATTTCACCCCTGCTCTTATCCATATATGAGATGCATACATTCAGGTAGTCTGAACCTCTCACATCACAGCAGTATGGGTTGTCCACAATACTTGATATGATGCTGTCCATCACAATGACAGGCAATCCTTTCTACATATTCATGGATGAGGACACCACTTTCACCTTTACAAAAATAGTGTCAACTTTGAATCGAATCTGGCAGACACCATTTTTCTATACCTCAGTTGCCACACAGGGTGGGAAAGTGGAAGGAGGATGAAATGTGTTGCTAGACAAAACACAGAAGTTTCTCGTGGGAACCAAGGACAGCTCTACAGGTGGTGGATAGAGATGGGGAAGAGTGCATAGAGAGCCTGCCAATTAACCTAATTGGACAATATGACCACTGACTTTTGGGGAGGGAGTTATTTCCTATTTTAATTATACTGAAACCACAGAAAACATTTAGAGTTTGTTTTGCATTCAATCATGTCGATATGATGTATCTAATAAAGAAGTTTTTTGAGGAAGACCTTAGCCTCAGAGTTCTGATTTGCTTGGGTTCATTAGTCGGAACCTTGACAAATAGATTGACATCGTTTGTTAAGAGACAAACAGCATTGCACTGGACTCTCATCCAGATGAGTGAAGTCTCCCTCTAGGCAAACAGCCAATCAGGGCTAATAATTCCTTGCATTGGCCAATCAAGCACAATTTCAAAGGAAGAGAGACAATACTTTTCCTCTCAGGGAGGATTCTGATCCCATGAGAACATGTAGGAGTGCCTCCAACCATAAAATCTCAGTGTCAGTGTCAACCTTGAATATTAATGTCTTGGTTCTGTCATTCTACATAAGCAGAATTTTGTGAGTGACAAGGGGTGTGGAATTGTAACTTGATACTCATGGCTTTACAAAGGGTCTTGGTTGCCTGACTGGTGTAATGAGCACTTAACTAGCAATCTAATGAGAGAGGGGAGCTTCACCTAGGAATTAAAATGGTTAACCATTTATTTGCTACCGAGTGGCATCTGTACACCAACAGGGGAATGCTTCCATCTAGTACAAATACTATCAGCAAACAACAAAACCCATCCTCCTTTGGGGATTTCGCAGAATTTTCAGGATTACAGATTCCTGAAAAATCTATAAAGGCCCAGGGTCAGCTGCTGGAAAGATCCTGCAGGGCCATAGGGTGCATGGCACAGCCTGAATGGTTCAATTGGCAATGATCTTGAGGAGATTCCCCCCTCTTGTAGGACTCTGAAGATGTAGGCAAGTCTTGGGATTGAACTACAACTAGAATAACAGCAACTGGTGGGCCTTTCAGCACAGCTGGACCAGCTGCTGTGCCAATGCACTAATTTCAAATAGCAACCTCTATGGTGTCCAAGCTGTGTATCTTGCACCAAATGATTGTTCTTCTGAGGGCAATAAAAACGCCTGAAGGAAGACATGAATAAAAGGAGCATAAGAGATTGAGATACTGGCTGAAGTAAGAAACTGTCAATTGTTGGAAGGAAAATCCATCTGGTTCAGTTCCAAGCTGAGAGAAAGACACGGGAAACATGGAGGCTGATTGGAAAGAAGGGTTTATTGATGAAGCAGAACCACCAACCACATTTGATTCTGAGTAGCTGACAAAATGGTTGAGTGAGTGGATGGATCTTTATAGGTTTCTGTGACTTTGAAGTTTGGACTGTTCTGGGGGTGATGCAATGAAGGGGCTTGCGGTCTGAAAAGGCGTTGGGCAATTCCTATTGTGGCTAATGGCTTTCGTCCTACATTGG